TCCCTATGTGCAGAGCGCACGGTGAGCTTGACACAGATCGTATCTTAGCTATAAAATTGGATGCGCGGATTTCACTAAGTGGCGGTGGGGGGGGGGGGGGCGTAGTTGGACTGCTGTATATAAGCCTTGACGATTTGATGCAAGACATGTAATTCCCTTGTTGATCATGCATTTCGTAGGGCAATATGTAGGCGCTGTATTTCCATACCCCACCAGATACAGAGCAAGACAGCCACTGTAAGACCTCCATAATCATCTCCCCTCTTTCACATTGAAGACTGCGAGTATTAGAACGTCCAGAAGGAGACGTATCTACTCATCTCGCCAGCCATGAGGTCTTGCTGTCGGGAGGTCTCCGGTCAAGTCATCTCCAACTGAACCTGCTACTCTTCTTCATCACGGGCGAGAGCTGTGCCCACTTTACCGCGCACTGACTGCCATCACCACCACGTCTCATCGCCAGTCTCCCCGAGATTTCCCGGCGATTGGTGTTACCGCATCCCCGCGGGCGGGCCGGGGACAAAAGACGGTGGCGGCGATCATGAGGTGGGTGCGGAGGAACTGGCTAATGAATAAGTACGTGTAATCGGTGTGGGCGTGTGTCTGGGCATCGTCGCTGGAAAGGCTTGTAGACGCGTAGCAAATGTCTGGTAGCGATCGGGGCCTAAACTGCGAGTGTTCCGTCGAATCTGCCCCAACACCTGAAAATCTTTTTGACAGCGGTGCATATCGTGTGCTTGTGTGCGCGGAGTTACGTGTTGGGGATTTCGTCTGTGCGTTCGGGCTCACGCGAGGTGTTGTTTGTCGAACGAGTGATAACCCATGAGTGTCAACTACGGAAAGAACAAACACCACTTGATGATTTGGCGGCGCATTGATGTCCTTTCAACAGTCACAACTGTTTTATCAGTACTCCATGGGTAGTACGTGATTGGAATAAACCATTTTCCCTATTCGTTTAACCAGATAAAAGTCCATCTCTACATACATAACATGTATTCTCGCCATATCCACCTCTCCCAGCTTCAGAGCAGCTATTCTCTTTGATTAAGTTGTAACTAAATGCGCCCCGACATTTGTGCGTGGTTAACTGCTTGCGGGGTTGTTGATGCTAGGCTGGTGCTCTGGGCGCCTCGTATTTTCGTAGCCTCTAGCTCTGATTTCGTTAGACTTGCGCATGCTATTGGCTATTATCCCATTTTTGCCTCAGAGTTATGGGCTTTTCGGGGTTGATCTATCGGAGGAGGGTTGATATCGAAAACGGTTGGGGTGGTAGAGATGGCAGGGGGATGGAAGGTGTGAGTTTGAGCGAGCGCATGGAAATTATCTGCGTCATAGTGTATCACTCGCTCCGGCTTGGCACGTGACTTCCCGAAAGCACGGTTTTTTCCTGGATCCGACACACCTCAAGATTGCTAACTAGCAAGAATACTCGGGCGAGAAGCATTCTCTACTCCTACGTGTAACTCATACTCACCTCTGTACCCATAGCCATTCCCCCAGCACGAAAAAATCCCGAGTGACAAAAGACTTACGTGATCAGTATCATCCCTCAAGAGCGTCGCTACCATGTCGGGCTTTCTGTCACTGCTTCCACCCCAGGTTGAACCGGTGGTGTCATGCAACGTAGTAGAGGCTGTTACCCTCGACCACGCCACGGTGTTGTGAAGGGGGCTTGGGTGGTATAGGAACTACTAGACCTTTTGCCTGATTGATAAGATTGATAAGGGACTTCACCCATCACGAAGGAGTCTGGTCCATGAGCAACTCGAACTGACTTCAGAATCGAACTGTACATTCTCTCTGGGACCTAGTCTTGACTCTATCCTTTTGAGAGCTTAAGTTACGGTGAAAATGGGTGCACGAAAAAAAAAAAAAAAAAAAGCTGATTAGGTATTACTTCGCCCTGAGGCCAATCCGTTAGTACCTTCCTCCATCATTTGTTAAAGCTACCTCGATCTCATCTCTCCTGTAGATAAGCCCCCCCGCTGCTCGTCGCTGTTATACAAGTATTCACACAGTTATCTCACCTACTTCTCACATGAGAGTTACCTTCCTTCGGAAGTCATGCGCAACCGCTTCCTTGTCGATGACAGCCATACCCTTCTACTGCAGAAGGATCCTTACTTTTATGGATGGATGGTCGACCGCTGGAAGGGCGGTATGCACTCTTGTAGTGGATCTTGACTCATAACCCGATAGACCAATACCCCGGAGCTAGTTGCGGGATGGGGGTTTGGTTCTTACTAAGTTGGAGAGATGGTGATATTGGGGATGGTGCGGGTTACAGAGATGGGGACGGCGAGATGGTAGGGTGGACTGCATGTTGATAGAAACGTGGACAGGAGTAAAGGTTGCCATCACAACTCATCACTCGACGAGGCTTGGCACATGTGGTGGCGCAACCCAGCTAGCATGGTCCGCACAACACCACCGCCGACCGAGCTAACCATTGCATGATGATATTGTAGCTCTCAGAGGGCATCCAGCTACATAGACTTGTAGTGCCTGCGTCCAGACCATAAATATTTCTATGGGGAGGTGGAGTACTTGTGTTTCTTTTCTTTTTTTTCTCTCTCCTTTCTTTTCGAGCAGCACCGAAGAGGACTACAACCAGACCACACCAGCACACTCCACAATCATAGCTACAGGAGTCACGGAACACCCGGCGCATACACGGACTACACTCCAGTACAAGTAGAAACAGCTATTCCCCGCGCAACTCCAACTACACCACCTGAGGCTTAACAGAGGGAGGCTATACCCATAGGAAGGTGAGGTGCACCGAGGGAAAACACTGACGCATAGCTAGCAAGGCTTACGCCCTAGAAACAGCACCTCTTGATCCGCGGGCTGTTGGATCAGGGGGGCACATTTTGCCGCCCCTTGGTTTCCGGTTGGTGGTAGTGTCTGGAGTCAGTTTCCGGTAATATGGGCTTGAAAACGAGGGTTCGCTGTTGTTCACGGGGGCGTGTTCATGGTGGTTGGTTAGCTGTAGCTCTTGGAGCACTCTGACACTCTGGCGCTCTCGGGGTCTTTAGTGGTGGTTGTGCTTGGGGGAGCTCGATCGATGGGTGTCGGGTGTGGGGGAGGAGTGCGAGGTTGGGGAAACAGCAGTGTAGAGAACGGGGAAAGGGGCTTACAGTCTCCGAATTAAAGAGCCAACAACACGCACATTCGTACCCGGTGAGACGAGGGCTCATTCTGCTACTTGCGCCCGTAGATTTAAGGGGATCTAACAGCACTTGCAAGTGCAAGAAAAGATGGGCTATAGGTACTAAAGTAAGGCTTGCTTACTGTACTTCCTCTAACTCTTATTTCTGGCTCTTGGCCATTGAGGGTTCTGATGATGGGAGCTATATCAGGATGTAGTTCCGCAGTGAGAGAGTACGTGTGCTGTTTGTGGTTATATTTAAGTGTTTCGTGGGCTTGTCTGTATCCGAGGTTATATCTTCTTTGACAAGTATTCCAAAACCGTCCTACGTCTCCCCCCGTGTATTTGCTTCTAGCTCTACTGCTATCCTGGTATTTGAGGGCTATATGCAGCCTGTCCTTATACCTACATGTAGCTACTGGAAGCGCTCGTCTCCCACATCTCCACCAAAGTATTGTCGTTAATTTCTGAGCAATGGGCGAGCTGGAGAGCTCCACGTGCGGGTCTACTCCCATGCTAGTCACCCAACACCCATAGCCACTACATCATGAACTGCGCACGCAGTCTCAAAGTCCTAGCTATATTTCCTTTTGTCCCAACAGACACCCCCCCGAGGGTAACCGGAAAAGGATTTATACGGATGAATAAGCCCGCGGAGACATCTGAAGCCCTGGATTCCTGTAGCAGTTAGCTGGTTGGCTATTCTAGTCAGTCAGTCAGTCAGTCGAGTCGATCGGTATAAATAGACTCCTCGTAATATGGCCCTTGACACACGGATCGATGGAGAGAGACCCATGGTACAAGCTTTCTGCAGGTGGGCGTACGTAACCCCCCATCCCCCTTCCTCCCTCTAGTGTTGCTCTTCAAGCTTTCCCAGAGCTGCAGGATGAGAGAGGGGCCCGGGGGGGGGGGGGGGTATGTGCTCGATTGGTGTGTTATGTGTTGACGATGCGTTGAAAGCTGAGCGGGACAGGGGATATCCTGGTGGCTATCTTTGTGTGTAGCATGTTTGTGAGCTGTACTTTTGTGTTCTTCTCCCTCATGTACCTAGAATTGAGAGCATCGAGGGAGGGATCCGTAATATGTCTCTCTACCTTGGAGGTATGAATTATTCCAAATGCCACCCCCCCGGCCCCTAGATTCAACCACCACCGCAATTGAACCCCAGCAAGTGAAGAAGGGACGCACCACCGCACGTACTTGCACACCCTTGTCGTCCTATGTTATTCGGATCTGCGCACACACAAGCTTTTCTCATTCTGAAGCGAGACAACGCGCGGCTGCTCTCCGAATCTCGGCACATGCCGCGGGCAAACGGCAGTCGTCGTCGAGCAGCAACAGCAGCAGCAAAGGAGGCAGGGGGTCTCGTGTGTGTTTGAGGGGGGGGGGGGCCGCGTACTACGGTGGCCACAGACAGAGATGGCGAATGGAGATGGAGGAGTGAGAGAGAGTGAGAGAAAGTGCCCGCATGCTGTGGCGTCGGGCAGTAGTAGTACCTAGGCTTTATTTGGAAGCGGGAATGTCGCCGCCGTGGCTTAGCACCATGTTTCTGGGATGAGATCTACACTGCATGCAGGGAGATTTGTGTCAGTCAGCCCTACAACACAGCAAAACTAGTGGCCCAACCCCCCTGAGGGCCAAGCCCGGGGATCGAATCCCAGGGCGAGGGCGAGGGAGCTGTACTATCAACAACACAGTCTAAGACTACAAAAGAGCACACACATAAAGACCCACCTCCCTCCTCCTCTTCCTCCTCCTCCTCCTCCTCCTCTGAAACCCTCCCCCCCCCCCCCCCCCCCCCCCAAATAAATACCTCACAGTGCCAAACAGGTGCACCACATTCAACATGGCGCCCCGAACCCAGACCGCACCCGCAAGCACCTACCTCCCCCGCCTGCTCCTCGTCTACGCCGCCGACTGGGCCCTCATCATCGCCACCATCGCCTTCGCCGGCTCCATGTCCTTCTGGGCCACCCCCTCCGCCCGCCCCTTCTCCCTCGCCGACCCCAGCATCGCCTACCCCTACCAGACCCACGCCAAGATCTCCACCCCCCTTCTCGTCGTCCTCGCGGGCCTCATCCCCGCGATCGCCTGCGTCGCCGTCCCGCTGCTGCTCTCGCCCTCGGCCGCCACGGCGAAGCGCAGGATCTACGCGGCCAACAAGGCCCTGCTGGGCCTGCTGCTGAGCATTGCCATGGCCATGCTGCTGACGGACGCGCTCAAGAACCTGATGGGGAAGCCGCGGCCGGATATGATTTCGCGGTGTGCGCCGGCCGAGGAGTTTTTGGCGGCGGCGCAGACGGGGTGGGGGTTGGTGAGCTGGGAGGTGTGTGGGAATTTGGGGAGTAAGCAGCTGGCGGACGGGTTTAGGAGCTTTCCGAGTGGGCATGCTAGTAGTATTTTTTCCCCTTTTCTTTCTTCTGTGGTGTCTGTGGGGAGCTGGTTACTGACGGTGTGATGTTTTGATAGTGAGTTTCGCTGGCCTGACATACACATCCCTCTTCCTCGCCTCCTTCATCTTCAGCATGCAGATGCCCTTCGCGCGCACCATCACGGCCTTCTCCTCCTCCACCGGGAGCGCCTCATCCGCCGCGCCATCAGCGCACCCGAAAGTGCCGCAGATGCTGAGTTTTGCGGTTGTGGCGACGCCGATGCTGCTGGCGACATATGTGGCGTCGACGCGGTGGAGCGACTACCGCCACCACGGGTTCGACGTGCTGTTTGGCAGCTTTGAGGGGATCGTGTGTGCGCTCGTGGGGTGGGGGTGGTATGGTGTTTTCTCGTGCCGCAGGGAGGGGGCTGCGGAGAGGGAGAGTGCGGAGGAGGTGGAGATGATGACGGGTGGGTTTGGGACGAAGGGGGGGCAGGGGGGCGCGGATAGGTATGTGTAGGAGGTGTAGGTGTAGGTGGATGAGAGGGGATGGAGGGGAGGGTGTTTTGGATGCATATGTAGGGTTGGTGTTTGGTGCGCTCTCTTTGCATTTGTTTTAGCGCTTTTTTTTTCGTATTTTTAAGGGTGTGGTTTTAGCTACAGTAGCTAGGGGGTTAATTTGCGTGTGGGTGGGTTATTTTATGGGCTTCTACTCTAGATCTTGCATATGTAACTTTTAAAAACGTTCATTAGCTATATGTATATAGTGCATATAGGTGAATATTATTAATACCCCCAGGAGGTCATAGTTCTTCTCCGTACAGTGCTGTTATAAATATCGAACCCTACATATGTGCAGCTTATACTAGCTTTTGAAACCTTTGGTCCCTCGAAAGTGTCCGTAAGCTAGAAACTTACACTCACACTCGCACCTGTGCTTAGTACCCTTCACCTACCCAGCCACCAAACCCACCAAACTGCCTCTCCTACCTGAGTCTCCTGCAACACAAGTATGTACATACATAATAACCAAAAGCTACCGGCCAGCCTGCCATGTATACACGCCCTCATACACGCCGCACCACCGTGCACAAAAACCTCTCTATTACCCACAAGTAGCCACCCAACCAGCATGCAATCTATAGCTAGTTAAAACCATACCGACACAGCACCCCCCTCCCTCCCCTCCAGTCCTGCCCGCGGCCCGCCACACTGGCCCGATTCCGAATGCCAATGCCAAGACGAGTGATGCGCCATGACTACAACTGCCCACAACCACAACCTAGCTTTGGGCCAGCATGATATGCAATGCATCGCGACACGCGGTGGGTCAATGACGTGATGTGGTCATGTCACGTACTGTGCGTATCCCTTAATACATCTAGATGCCCGAGCATGGCCGGTACTCATGTGCCGGCCACGGGGTTGGGGGAAAATGTATTTACATAGGGCGAGTCAGATTAGCTTAAATTGTCATTTGACTATATAATCCTCATGATCACCTCACATAATAATGTAGCAGTTAGATGTAAGGGATACCCAGCGACGGAGAACGCGGGATAGACAGGTTTTCCTATACCTTTTTTCTCCCGTTCTTGCTGTTGGTTGGTGGTTGTGTGTAGATACATCGAACAAGTTAAATACATGTAGCTGGGTTGTCAATTATCATCCCAATCTGTAAGGCGAGTGATATTTCATGACCAATAGCGACCTGTCCCTTAATTGTTGTGCCCCCTACCTTGGTTCCTCTCTTTCCCACCACCACCCACCATTTTGTGCGAAATTCTATCTCGACCACTCTATACCAATGCATCCGTCGTATTCCACCTCGGAATTTCGGCGCTCAATTGAGTTTTGCATGTCCTCGATCTCCTGCTACAACCACATATGATCAATACCACGATAGAAAACCATTGACTCGAGCTTCGGACTTAAACTCGGTCCGTTTCACCATTCGTCAGCATTTCCCAGTGCGCCGCTCGTCCCGTCCATATGCAGTGGAGGAGGAATCTACACAGGTAAAAGAAAAAGAAAAAAAAACTTCTTTTTTGTCCAGGGCGGTTCTTACTAAAAACACAACAAGGCCAAAATTTACATAATGATCACCTCAATAGACACCCCCATTGTAGCAAGGAAATAAAGACCAAACTATCGAGCTTAAATCGTGTAAAATCAATTTCTTATAGTATGTGATACAAGCGTCCGGACTGCCAATTTCATGAGAATGCCCCCTTTGACTAGTTCCAACCCCTAAGGTGACTTCAGCAGAGTCGACCCTGTGAAACGGGAGAGACACGGCCGGACGCCTATCCCATGTATCCTGTGATCTCGATACCATTGACAGTCTCTCTTGTTGCCGGCTCATTATTGATAGTACGCATGGCGGGGCCAGGGACGACAGCAGCGGCAGCGACACCACGAGCGGCAGGCACTGAACGAGCGGCAAGAACGACAGGTGCAGCAGTAAAACCACCAGCGGCAGGCACCAAGCGGGCAGTGGAGGCTACAGGCGCAATCTCTCTTGTTACCAGCCCATTGTTGGTAATACGCATGACGAGACTAGGGACGACAGGTGCGGCAGGCACTGAACGAGCGGCAAGAATGACAGATGCAGCAGTAAAACCACCGGCAGCAGGCACCGAACGAGCAGTAGAGACGACAGTGGTGGCGGCGGGCCCTCCAAAACAACGGCGCTTGGTCGCAGCGACAGACCAGTCTCCATCGCTCTCCTCGATCCGGCGCTTGGATGCGCGAGGAGCGGAAATAGCTGGCTTGCTCTCCTCGGTCTGGCGCTTGGGTGCGAGAGGAGCGGGCATGTCTGCTTTGATTCGCCCCTGATTTCTCTGCTGCCTCCACCTCTGCTTCCGTCTCGCATTCTTTGAGAGCCCCTTCTCTGATCTCGGCCCTTTCGGCGCTGCGGTAGGCTGTGTTGGTGCTGCGGTCGGCGGCACTGTGCTCAACAGTGGGTTCGGGGCCGGTGGACTTGCATTGATCATGATAGCGGCTTTCATTGACATCTGGAAACCTGCTGGAAAGCCGGACTGGTGGCCAGCCTTGTAGCCCTCGAGGAAGGCGGCTTGGTTGGTGTCTTGGGCGGACATCGTAGAGGATGGATTTGGGGGGTGGGTTGGATTGGTCATTGGCAGCGGGTTGGGCTGGGAGTTGGGTTGATACATGTGTATGTATACTTGACTGCGGTAGCTGGTTTCTTTCTGTGGAGAGGGCGGGTTTCATTTTCTTCTTTTTTCTTTCTACGCTGCAGTTTGGACTTTATCACGTGACGCTCCGCGAGACCGAGTGATACCTCATGACTAGCTCTTCCTTTTTTTTTTTTTTTTTTTTTTTTTTTTTTATATCATATAAATTGTTTCTAGGTACAATTACTGCATGCAGTCATAGACTATGGCATAAAGACCCATCCCCAATGCCAGGCCCCCCGTTATAGTAACTATGGTATGCTACCAACCACACTCCTCTTACAAGGTTGATGACTAAGGAACCCCCCACCTGAGAAAGAAGGAAAAAAGTTCCGGATAACACAAAAGAACAGAGTAACCAAAGAGAACATGCATCTTGCAACCCCAACTGTAATGACTATGGTCTGCCATCAACCGCACATCCTCTTCAAAGGCAGACGGTAAGGGTGAGTAGCTGAACGCCTCGTGAGTGCATAGAGGGCGGGTCCGTCAATGAAGAGGGAACCTAGGAGTGTGGTGCTGGTGGTCTTTGAGAGGTGACCTTCGAGCTCGATATCCCTGAAAGGAACTCTGTATGAAAGAGTCCCTAGTATGGGGTGGGCCTCATCAGTGAAGAGGAGACCCTGAGGATGAGGTTGATGGCGGCTCTCTGGGCGGCCATGCGAAATGTCACTCCTTTTTATTTGACCCGAATCATGGGAGGAAAAGGATCGGTGCAATTAATCTTTGGTGGAAGCCAAAGAAAAGTCTTTATTAGAGAGGAAACCCCGCTCTCGTCAAGTCTTGGCGGTGTTGACGAGGCGTTGTCAGAGGATGAGAGGGATGATGACTAGCTCTTCCACCGTCGAAGTTTATATGTAGGAAATCGAATCTAGGGCAGAGGTTGGCTAGTGGTTTAATCGGAGTGATATGAGCATGGTATTTAGAGAGATAGGGGGCTGGCTCCCCGGTGAAGTTTCATGCTTGTAATTGCCTGTACTGATAGATACTCCTTTCTCGAAAACGTTGATGCCTAAGGCAATAAATCGGAGGTATATACCTGCATCAAAAAGTCTTATTCTGTCGGCATCAATAAATGGTATTTTTATCAGACGATTAGATGAGAGCTTAAGAGCAGCGCTGCCTGTCTCTTGCAGTTGATATTGCGGGTGGTTCTTGGCAGCTGGGGAGCCTTTCTCGTGCCGCATGTGATGAATGAGCTGGGCCTTGCATCAACACCAACGCCCCAGAAAAGCGTCTTCACAGTTCTCCAAAGTTCGTCCATCACTACACGGATTGACAACGCCGTCCACTAACAACCGCGCCATCACGGAGATCGCCACGCCGTATGGAGAGAATCCTCAACCATCAGATCATGCCTAATGTATGGATGCCCACAAGCTATGTTTAGGGCACAGATCACCGGCCCCCAAGTGAATCCACCACCCAGCTAGCTAGTCGTCGGTTTCTGCTAATGGGCGGAGCTTGTAATAGCTGTTATACGTTTGATGGGCTTTGGATTCATCTATATCTCAAAGAGCCAGGAATCAGGATCCATGATGATCCGGGGGGACTGGAACTTACTGGATCTGCCCACGCACATACTTAGTACTAAAAAAAGCTACTTTCCACGTAATTGAATAGCAGGGCCACAAAGACAAGTTGTGGAAGTCGTGGGGAGGGGGTGCAGGAGCTGCCAGGCAAAAAATATTTCTAATACGGTGGTACGATGAATATGAATCGAATAGGTCCTCGCATCATATCGAGCTCATGAACTAATTGGCGGATAATATGATTGAGCGACCTATCGATGATTTGCCGCTGGTACTTTCGACTATTACACACCTTGTTAACCATGGACAGCCTCTCGATTGGGATAATGAGTTTTTTTTTTTTCTCTAGACGCGGAGATGATTGAGAGCAGTGTAAAAACACGGCTTCGTTTATGGATACACCTGTGGCCCATCCTGTCGTGTGCCTTCGACGAAAACATCCCTGGAGCTCATAAGCTCTCGATAGATCCATCTCAGTGGAGGTTTCTGGTCGTTGGAGTCTTCAGAGATGCCATCACCGGGAAGTCTCACAAAAATAAATTGGGAAAGGCATCGACCGACCGGACTCCCGATCAATGACGGGGAGGAAGGCACCAAATATTGAAAGCACGCGCGTGGGGCGGATGAATAATTGCAGATTCAGTTGGAACCAAGTGTTGTTGTTTACTTCACGGCAAGCGTCAATGGTTCCGACCCTTTGGAAACGCCAGATTTCACTTAAACACGACCTGGTTCATACATGGGGTCTGCGAGCTACAAAAAGGAAAGGGATCATATTTCTGTGAGTTGTCACAAGGGGATATGTGTCCAACCATGCTAGTTTAAAGTGTTCCCCGTAAAAAATGGGTGATTTTGAAGGAACGATTATGGAGGGAGGTGGGCTATAAATAGGAAAGTACATTTACACCGGAGAAGTTACTCGTGTGGATTCACAATATGGGTTCGATACCTTATAATTGTTTGATTTACACGAGAAACTACTACATGTTGCAATGGTTACTAGTAATGTCTACTTTATAAAGAGACTGTGACTAATGAATAACAGGCAGCAGGTGTTTACAGCATAGATGCGAATTTTACATACCGGCCGTCACCAGCTTCACGAACTAAGCAAACCAATCTCTTCCACCGTTTGCAATAACAAGAGATATACGGGCGCCTATAGATACTAGGAATACTGCCCATGATACCAGTAGAGCTCCCGAGGAAAAAAATATAAAAAAGAAGCAAAAGTTAATTTAACTCCCACCAAGCGGGGGATTGAACGACCAGCGTCGTTCAGAGCCCACCTGCCCGGTGTAACGGTTTGGGTAGTTGTGCTGTGTACCACTAGGCCACGCACCGCCGCTGAAAGGACGTGTCTATTGTGGTTCTTGGGGACACGTTCTGAGAGCGTTTCTGACTAATCAGTGGAAGTACTATGTACTAATAATAGCGTCACGATGCAATTATGAGGAATGAAGCGGTAAAGCAGCCCGCGTGGACGGTGGAAAAGTGCCTAGGAGGTATATTATGCATGAGGGAAAGCTACATATGGTGATGCTCGATAGTATGATCGTGAGAACGGGCGTCCTTCTGTTCCTTGTGTTCTTGCCTCGAAGACATGCATGCTCTCGGAAGTAGTAAACAAATATAATGGCCTAAAAGGACAAAAAGCCCCAAACCTGTCTGCCCTTCTCTTGAGAACCCCCAATGACGATTTTTGGCTACAATTTGCACTTAATGTGCCGCATTCAGATGAGGTCAGGAATGGATGAGAGATGCGAAATACCGCTTTTTGCTCTCTCGGACCGCGGAGGCTTTTTATCACCCTCGAGGGTACAAGTATGCGTACGCAAACACAGATATGAGGCATCTCGAGCGCACCCTCAAATCTTGCCTCAAGTGTCCGCGTGGACTGCACTGGCTTATGATCACTCGATTTTAGAAAGGGCTACATTTTCGAGAGGTTGTTACTAATAATGGACGAGGAGGAGCAGGCACGACTATGCGAATTTTGTATACTGGTCGTTCATGAACCAGGCTTCAAAATCAAAACAAAACAACCATTTTTATCTGTTGCGACAACAAGAGAGATCCGGGTTCCTATAGATACGAAGGCCGAAATCATTAGGCCACGCATACCCGCTGGGGGGGCACATCTGAGATTGGTTTTGAGTGTATTATTTTTATGTTGGTTTCTAACAAATACATGTCTGCTCGTCTGTTGTGGCTGGCAATGACCACATTATTGTCATACCCAGTATGAGGGGTGTGGATAAACCAAGCCGTATAAACAGTAGGAATTGAGTTCCTACATGTAGTTGAAGCTAATAATCGACTTTTCGAAGCCTTTACACCCTTCATTAAGTAGATCTGGATAAAAAGTCAGGGCGAGTTTATAGAGGCCACGTTGATACTAGTGCACAGCAACAAATTCAACCCTGCTACATGAAATAGCAATACGTAAATTGCGATAGCAACGTCTGGAACCATAATTTACAGGAGAGCAGCGTACTACTAAAGTAAATATTCGCTGTGTTGTGCTAAAGAGAGGCCTGTTTTGGGCATGTTGACTAATGGTCGTTACTGCACAGAACGCGAATATTCTATACCGATCATATAAGCAGTACAAATAAGAAGTATCTTGAACAAACTTTGGTTATTCGCACAAATAAACAAGCTAAGTATTCGATTGCCTAGATACATGTATGGAACTAACTCCTCCTCCAAAAGAGCTCAACATAATTTTTACAAAAAAGAAGCAAAAGTTTTTTGAAACTCCCACCGGGCGGGGATTTGAACCTCCTGACCGGTGTAACAGGTTGGGTAGTAAGTGCTGAGACCATTAGGCCACGCACACCTGCTGAAAGGACATGTCCGCACTTAGTTTTAAGTGGGTTATTTATTTTTGGTGGTTTCTGACTAAGCTGTGACTGTACACATTGGGGGGCGAAAAAGGGCAACGTGTTCTGTGTTGGAAACGATGCCCAAAGGGACCGAAGGCCTCTCACCGGTTGGCGGTAGACGTTTTACCGCAAGTAGATCGGTTTTCCTGTGTTCCATTCACATGCAGTAATGTTTTCTAGACGTGTACCTGAATGAATTAATAAGAATTCGGTCTCATTTAGTACGCTTTTTCTGGTATACTTGTGTGGCAGTTTACTCGAGTCTGTGTAAAAGCCACATGTAACCTCTAGTACATGTAGCTGGATAAAAACACGTTCCATACTTGTCAGCGACGCTCAAAGTAAATACTATAAAGGAAACAACCTGTTTGCTAAATGCATTATCTTTCAACACGTGTACAGATTAATTCTCAAACAAACACCCAAAAACATCCCTCAAACTGCGTCGAGAAACAGAATCACTCACACGTGCCCTGTCTCTCCATTCCTGGGGCGCCATATTCCGAAGTGTATTGATGATATATCATTACTTGGTTGGCTTATTTGCAAACGCGCACCCCCACTTACAGCCGAGGTCGCGTCTCGAGTCACCAAGACATCAACAAAGATATCATTTCGCGAGATAATGAGTTATTCCAGAAACTCCCTCTTTTGTTTTTCACTACAACCTTTTCAGATCAGTTTACTAGCACCCTTGTCAAAGCGTTGCATGCAATTAATGAATTAAACAAAAAAAAAAAAAAAAAACCCCTGTCAAAGCCAAACTAACCGAGTGATAGCCCATGATCTACCAGCCACCGAGTATGGGCCTTCTCTCATATTACCGTTATTAGTCCGCGAGAAACTATAAACCAGCATTACATTACAGCTTCGAGCTGAGAATTTCTGTATGCGGTCGTTCTGCGATTTCCCTTATCCTGAGGGGGCAGCCGGTTCGACCCTGAATTCTCGGGACGGGCCAAGACGAGTGATGTTCCATGATTACACATGCGCGTAACATGCACCTCACCTAACCTCAACATACATAAGTAATACAAGGAATCAACCACGCCGAGAGATGTTACGATATTTCTACTACTCTCAAATCAAAGAACCATGACATAGCACTCTTCCACCTGTCCTACAATATGAAAACCTCGAAAACGGCGGAAAATTTATCCTCCTACTCAGGCCAATCGCAATCAGAACCAGCTATCGACATCGGCCTGTCGCGCTTTTAATTTTGCTTCCACTCAGTCTTCTGCTATTCATCACTGGTAGTAATCCCTCCCTCTTTTTCGATCTCTGACCCATCTCTGGGCGCGGTATAGGGTGCACTAAGATGAGAATTTAGTCTAGATGCTATCATTCGTTTGGGGGACGGCGGGGGAGATAATTGAGCGGTGGATATTCGGAGCGGGGGTCTAGTGTGCGGGTGCGATGGGCGCCGTGTTCTGTGTATCGTTTTCGCATAATGACTTAGACTAGACTGGGTGCGTGTCTTTTTGTGTTCTGATGATAATCGAAGGTGATATGTGGGTAACATACAAAGAGTAAGGACAACCCGAGGAGCAAATACAGGTAGGAATACTTCCCTGTAGACCTTTGTGGCAGTTTTCGCCAGGAATGATAAGCAATGTAGTGGAGGGGGTCTCTCTTTTCTGTGCCCAGACTGCTTCTCCTCTGGGAGCACATAGGCATCTACCGCCTCAGGTACTAATGGTGTAAGATGAATAAATCCTGCGGTTATGATAAAACCCCGGAATTCTTTGAAGAGCATAGTTTTCCTCGGACACATAGCTCTTTTCCAACACTACAAGTCCCGGCAAGTAGTACTCATCCCGCAGCTTAGTCATGGCCGTCAGAATAGCCTGTATCGTTGCCGACAGGATTGGCGGTGGTATCCATATAGCACAGCACATATAACTCACCTGATTAACAGAACCACCAAGGAAATGGTTTCCGTCACGGCGAAGCGGCAAGTTGGGCGCGTTAGCAGCCGAGGTAGGGCTTTTTGAATTCTGTTGCTACTCATCCTCTTTCTAGCCTTTTTGTGATGGCGTAGGTATATTTGAGATAGGTCCTCTATTCGAAACTAGTACATATCCTGGAATATATATAGTTAAAACATCCGGTATTCGCTCTTGTGACTGTTGCTTCTTTTTTAGTTTGTGGGATTTTGTTTCTGGAGCTCAGGTTGTATGAACGTCCCAAGAAGAGCGGTCAGTTTCACCAAATATTCCGACTGGAAAGTGTGTTTCGTATCGTCTATACTAATACAGTTGATATTTTATTTATTTTATGCTTGTGGGGTATGTGATCGATCGATTGCGGGGTTGTTAACAAGGTTGTAAGTCTCTCTCCCAGACTGCACCTGTTGTCGCACCCTGAATCTTCATATAGGCTACAAGATCCATTCTACTTGCACTTTCTCACTATACACCACCCAGTCTCGCGTCAATAATTTCGAAATAACACCCTGTAACATTAGGGGTCTCGATTCTTTAACGCATCTGCAACCTCTCCGTGGTGCTTACTATGGTGCCTACTTGCCTATCCTCAAACCCAGTGCTTTAATGGTTACATGGTCTTAGCACGTTTTTGCGACTTTTTGATCAACAAAAGCCTATACATAATCATCGCCTCTTGATTCATTTCATCGTTATTCCGATCATACACATCTTTCAACACCACTAAAAAACCCTTTTGATTCGTTTTGGTGGGGTGCTGGCCACAAAGCTGTTCTGGTTACGCATGCAAACACATGATAAAAACAGATTTCACAACCTAAGGGGGAATCATCAACCCCAATCGACCCCTCGTCCTCCACTAGACCTTGGGGCCCTCGCTATAAAACTACAACTACCTCATTGTATAACTCAAGACTCACTTTGATAAAACCTACGACCTTTTCTTCAAGATGCAATCGGCGCTGCAACCTGTTAAGGAGGCGATCCCTTATGACTAATTACAGGAGGGCGGTTACGTCTACAAAGTCTCCTTCTTTATACCACGCAATGAACAAAAAACCCTCCCAGCCCTACAAACCGCCTGCGAATGGCTCAAGCTGCCTTTTAAGTCCTGCGACGGCACGATTACACTAAGAAATAAAGTACTTGATTACATGAGCAAATTGGAAGACATTCCTCATCAACTCTATAAAGCCGAGTGTTTAGCGGGATGGTGGTATATATATCCCAGCCAGCGCTGCAGTGGATGGAGTAAGAATAGCTGGCTATGTGAAACTTCAACCAGAGGATCAACTCATCTGGTATATGAAAAGATCGGGAGGGGTCTTCAGCAGTGTCAGGGCTAAAAAAATACCGGACTTACAAGATCCGGATCCAACAAGCGATAATATGGATGAAGACGAAGAAACTCAGATCGGGCCAACACAAAATCCAACATAATTCAGTCAACTCTCTACGCAACTACTGGGAACTTAGTGTGGAGGGGAGAATAGCCTTATTCAAAACACAAATCCTTCAGGTGATGGCCCGATAAATATAAATAGAGCGGAATTAATGAACCTTCAAAACCTTATCTTGGAACCCTTAGAGGGTATAGCAGAAGAAAGATCAGCAACGAAGACCTTTATTGCCGATATACAGAATGAACGAAGATTGACTGATGCGAGTTACTCAAAAATCATTGACGAGTATAAGTTCACAATCTCTACACTTCATGCGCAGCATGCGAGGATCAGGGAGGCGTATCAGTCCACGCTCTCTGCACTTCAATCGCAGCAGGTGATCATGAATGAGTGTATGTCCGTGCTCTCTACACTTCAATCACAGGATGCGAGGATCAAGATACTTGAGGAGGAGGGGATCCTCCGAGAATACTTCCAGTAGGTATTACAGATATCAGACTGGCGGAACGGTCAACCAAGAGCTTCATGCAAGTTTCTTTCCGTTTTCATGTGTAGTCCTGAGCTGGGAACTTTCATTTCTTCTTCATGATCTCTTCTCTCTGCCATGGTTTCTTGCTTGAAAACAACTTTATTTCCTTTTCCTCAACATTCCCTACTTCATGGTATCTTAGAATCTCGAGATTTATTTTCTTTTCCTCTCGAGCCCCTTGTCTGTCATTTTCCTTGTCTCGTTAATTGCCTTGTTTCATTCAAGTGTACCAGATCGAACTTTCCTTATGTTACTCTCTTTTTGTCACTTTTCGCTTTTGAGTGCCTTCTTTAAAAACTGCCTTATTTTCTTGGATAGAATGAATTAGTTTGGGGCGAGTCGAATGTTCGATATACCAAGTACAAACAAGTTTACTACCCAATCGGTTACATCTTTTGGTTCCCTTTTATTTTTCTGTTTTAGGTGTAGAATTAAACTCTATAATATATCACCAGTTTGGCCTGGTAGATAGCTTATTATAAGTGAAATACGGTGGTGTTCCTTGTTAAATCAATTCGTAGAGGTAGTCACCTTCGAGAGGGGGCTAGTGTTAGAATGACTTACGATAGAACTTGAAGAACACGTAGCAAGATCATGAGAACTGGTAAGTCAGAAACTGCCAGGAATGGCCCCCCTCAAAGCGAGTCCAGAAATGTCCTCAGCGAGTTGCGTGATCAAATGGTTAAATTGATGAAGCTGTTCGTGTCCGACGGAGAGGCTTTTCTTAGAAACAGAACGTGACAAGAGGATTAGTACGTCATATAATCATTACTAACCGTAGATTATATTAGTCAGAACAACGAAAAAGGACCAAGCCAAAAGCGAGTGCAGACATGTCCTTTCAGCAGGTGTGCGTGGCCTAATGGTCTCAGCACTTACTACCAAACCTGTTACACCGGTCAGGAGGTTCAAATCCCCGCCCGGTGGGAGTTTAAAAAAACTTTTGCTTCAGTTTTATAATTTTCTCCAAATAATCTTATGTAGATGAGAAGGAGAACTCCATGTGTCTATTGGTACTCAAATCACTTGGTGTCGCGACACGGGAGAGATAGTTCTTCCTTTTGATCCTTGAAGCTCGTGGGGGGGGGGGGGTGGTATGGAGAGTACGCCTGGGTGCGCTGTCACCATGGTATCTTTGTTTAGAAACTATTTGTCATAACAAACTTAAAATAGACCCTCTGGCAGTGAAGGATTAATGGTGTATCCAGTTCGCGAGGAAGGATTTGGAAGCGAGGGATAAAGGGAGCGAGTGCAACAGCGTCATATTCTATCATTACATTTGTGGAACCGTAAACTCTTTTCAATTGAGGATAAAGTAGGTGCTTGTGATTCCTCAATGACATTTGAAAATATTCCGAAGTGTGGAAATCAACGTTGTAAGATATAGTTCAAGTGTTGGAATAACCATCTGTATAATACCGAAGCTCCACTCCGGCTGCAAAGGAGTGGGTGACGCCCCGAGTTTCATCGTTTGAGAAGATGTGTGGCTACATATGCGTATGTATGCCCATTGAAACTGTATATATCAGCGGTTTCAAGATCTTACACCCGCTTCTTCTCGTTGGTGGGTGTCAGCGTGAGTAGTTACCCCCATAACCGTGATATATCCAGATAGTGTCAGGATATAGCTTGCTGTGAAGTTCGAGCACAGGCACGAGCCTGCTCACACGCCCCGTTTTCAATGGGTGCGGTCATCGTCGTATACGGAGCTGTTGCGTATCCAGAGGTAGCGTGTTCTCTTCAATTGGAGACCTCCTACTTGCATGGGTACAGGGTACTGCCCCCACCGTCTACCAGGGGATATAATCCCCATCCTTGCCGCACCAATATGCACATCTTCTCAGACGTTTTTCGACGATAAACTGGCATGGCGAGAGCGTGAAAAGCATGGCAGTGTGGTTGTGACTCTCTTTCGGTGACAGGTATAAAGGAACACCAGGCGAGGTTGATAGAAAGAGGCTAGATGTCATCATGTCGACAAGCACCCTCCCAGGGAGGGGTATAGATGTGGTAGAAAAGCAGATGGAGATGTCCTTAGCCGGTATAGTAGGGTGGAAAGTTGAAAGAGAAGACTACGATTTGATGAAACTGAAGGCATAAGGGTGTGAGTGGTGTAGGAAAGAAATTTAGGTTTCAGCAACAATGGAAACTACCACCTGTAAGGCGGTCTATGCACTGTCGTCTAATGTCTTCGTGTCGCCCAACAATTTAGTGAGGCACACTTTCTGGGCGGGGGCCGAGGCTCTTCCCTCCCTTCTCTCGTCCTTTTTCGCCTTACCATTCTTGTTTACACCCCTCTAAAAAGGTTTATCTAGCTTCCCCGCGCAGCAAAACCAAATATGTAACCCCGTCACAAATGCTATGCCTAATACTGGTATTATGGTGAAAAGCTAATTATGATGCCGCCACAATGGTTTCTGCGGGATAGTTTCCCGCCATGTAGTGGAGACACGTGGCATGTAAGCCAACCCGTGGGAGTAGTTATAGCTGCCTTTGGGCGTATAGGGGGTCTTTTTCTCGGTTTCATTAGATAAAAACGGCTTGAGCCAGGCAAATATCTAATAGTTCGGATGACCTAATTGCAACGCGGATAGCCATAATATCTATTAGCTTATTAAGATAGAGCTCACAGCTTCAGATCTTAATTGATTTCTCTGCTTAAAAGCTGGCTCTATTACTAGAATTTCAAGTGTATGTTGTCGAATAAACGCCGAAAGATCTCGGAGACCAGCACATTTTGTGTTCGAGGGAGTTGCAGTACAAGTAGATTAAGTAAAAGAGTAGAAAAAGGTTCAATTTTGGCCCATCACTACACGCTCGAGAGCAGGTGCTCTGTGGGATACCGAGGCACAGTAGAGAAAAATGATCGATCACCACATATCACTCGTTTGGCTTGGCGGTCACGGGTCGCACTTTAATTTCCACAACTTTTTTTGATCCCGACTACTCCAAATACAGCCTAATAGACTGCGGAGAAAATCTCTCAAAGTTTCACTTTGTTCAATAGGTGATATCGTAGTCTCGTTCCCAGACCCATTCGGTAATATTTTGGTGGTGGTGGTGGTTGAGTATTTTTATACTGGATGGGTCTGATGTTTGTTTGCAATATTCGCCCCAGATTAACTGAAAATACCTATCTACATAGGCGACGGAAAAGAGAAAAGGGGAGATCCGAACTACCTAGGAGTAAAATTACAGTGATGGGAAATGACGTAACCTAATGGTAATGGGGAATACAGAGGACACGTTGCAATCCCCGTTGCAGTGTTCCTCATAAAAGGCAAATCCCCTCCCTAGCGAAACCATTGTGGGCTGCCACCCACGAAAATTACAGAAGAAAAATGGGAGAGGAAAAGCAAAATTTCCCGTCACGAGAATGCCAGAAAGAAAAGGAAGATTTCCCGTTATGAGGATGCCACACAGAAAAGGAAGATTTCCCGCACGAGAGTGCCACAGAGTGAACACTCGTGACGAGAATGCCATACGGTGAGCAGAAAAGGAAAATTCGCTTGCGATGCCATTTAAACAGAAAAAGGAGTTTAGTTGATCCTGGATAAGAGGAATAAATTAAAGGAGAGGAAAAGAGAGAATGAGATAGAAGGAAGACTTCATCCCACTGGATGGTTTAGAGCTTTTGGTTACCAATCCACTAGCCTAACATCCTCCTGATCTCGTGGGATCACATCAATAGTGATTCTCCCGACATATCTACTTTGGCTTTGTGGTTTTCGATACATTTGAATAAACACGCGAGCCGCCCAACATATTCTACCGTCTGGTTGGAAAACCATTATAGGTGGTAACATATGGAGATTGGGGGAGAAGTGGAGAGGGGGGGGGGGAAGGGTGAAAGGAAGATTTCTCGTTGAAAAAATGCCAGGTAGTTTACAGAAAGAGGAAAAGGAAGGATTCTCGTTGCGAGGATTCTGGGAAGTTTGCAGAGGGGGAAAGTCGCTCACAATTCTATTTAAACCGCAGAGAGGGTTCGATCAGTCGAATAAAAGAAAAAAAAGGGGGAAAGTGAGAAATCAAAAGCAAAGGAGAAAGGGGTGGTGAAAGAGTGGCCTTTAAAACACACGCTTTTTTTCCTTTTTTCCCCTCATTATTATATAGCTCATAGGAGGTAGATCAGCGATGATAATGATTAATTTGATGATGGTTATGAGTACTTTTTGCAATCATGATTCCCCGACTCATTTTTTCGTTGGGTGTACCGTGCACGTGACACGGCTGCGAGTGATATTATATGATGGGAAACTGGCTCAGGCCAAGGAAAGAGTCACGTTAGGGTTGGGTGGTCATTAAGCTGAGGTGTAGCGTCCGATAAATTTAGGTATAAATTTTTACCTGGCCGTCGGCTGGCCTTGCTGCGTGTGCGTTCTCTAGTGTTTAAGATTTGTATTCTGTATCACGAGATAGTAATAACATTTGCGTCCAAACTGTGATAGGCTGTCTTGGGACTCGTGCTTGGTTGCGGGTGAGATCGAGATAGAGAAGAAGAAGATATGTCTTTGGCCGCGAGCCTATCAAGTACATGTATCAACGGTCAGGATCTATCACCTATACCCACCCTTGGTATGTATATTTTCAGAACCCACTGGCATATAGTTAATGTTGTGTACTCAGGGCTACGCTGTATCGTGTTTTGAAGGGTTTTTTGTATGAATATCCAGAAGTGATTGATTCGGATAGTACTATGTGTATAATTAGAGCGGGACTTGATGTAAAGGCCACCCTATTAGCACTCGTGTAAGGCCATATCCCCGTAGGTACTTATTAACGGCGGTACGCACCCAATCGTACGACAGAAAAGAAGGGAATTCCTCCGCTATTGAAGTAGACAGCAAAGAGTTACTCCAGCGGCGGAGAAAGTAGGCAAACGGATAGAGAGACAGAATTGGTGAGAAATCAGGCGTAATAGCTTCAGAAATTAGATGAAGTGATTGCTATTA